TCTGGCGTCGCCACGCAGGTCATCAGGTACATGAGGCAGCCAACAAGCTCTGGATACGGGCCACTCGACTCTACAGACTCATCCGAAGGCAGAGCTGAGAGCGAGTGGCGAGTAGGCAGAGGAGTGGCCTGAGGCGAGGAGTACGTGAAGCAGAAGCGCTGAAGGACCTGCTGCACCATGTGTGACTGAGTCAGGGTAATGGTGCGGCGTGCTCTGTCCCGGGTGCTCCGCAAGCCAAGGTAGCTGCGCAGTTCACCCAGGTCAGTGCACGTGTGTCTCTTCTGCAGCTCGGACTTCACGTAGGCGAGTCCAGCGCTGTCACCTGTGGCAAAGACCAAGTCGTCGACGTACACGAGGATGTAGAACGGCGGCAGAGAGGTGTCGGTGCGCAGAAACAGCGACGGGTCGGCAGTAGAAGGAGCAAACCCAAGAGCCGCAAGCGTAGTCCTCAGTGTGTCGTGCCACTCACGGGGCGCCTGGCGGTGACCGTAGACTGGACGCCGGAGACTCCACTGGGTACCAGGAGGGAAAGACCCAGTGAAGCCAGGTGGGCGGCGCAGCCAGATCTCCTCGTGCAGGCTGCCCTACAAGAAAGCAGTGCTGAAGTCGAGAGAGTGCAGCTCGTAGTCACGGTGAGCAGCAACGTGCAGCAGTACCCGAAGAGTGGTCATCTTCGGGGTGGGGGAGAAGGTCTGAAAGTAGTCAACCCCCTGCCGCTGACTGAAGCCACGAGCCACGTAACGCGCCTTGAAGACAGGCGGAGAACCCGACGGCCGCTTCACCCTGAAGATCCACATGCCACTGACGATGTTCGCCCCAGGAGGGGGGACAGCGTCAACGTAGGTGCTTGTGGACTTTCAGGAAGCCATCTCTGCATCCATAGCTGCCTGCCACTGAGAGGAGTAGGGACCCTCTATCGCCTCCGCGTAAGAGCGCAGAGTCGGGATGTCAAGTGCATCCGGGTCTCCCTCAGGGGTAAGCAGTACGGACAAGAGATGCGGTGAAGCGGCTGCGAGGCACTGGAACTCCTCCTGCCTGTCCTCGAGGACGTCCGTGCCAAGGGCACACTCACCCCCGACAGACGGAGGACAGTCAGACTCAGACTCTGCGACAAGACTAGCAGCGTAGTCTAGGCGACAGCGAGCAGCAAAGTCGACGAGCTCAGTAACGAGGGCACACGCAGCAGAAGACTCGAAAGAAGGGTCAGTGACGACAGTAGCAAGGAAACGCGTGACAGTAGGAATGGCAGCACGAAGAGAGTCCGATTCTGGGTCGGCAAGAGAAGGAAGAGAGGACTCAGGAGGAGAAGGCAAAGGGGCACGCAGAGGAGCAGTAGACGGACGCAGTGACATCCGGTGCCTGCCAGGGACAAGAGGAGGACGCTGACGCGAACTGCGACCACTAGCGCGTGCAGTACAAACAGGCGACGCTGGACGAGACGCAGGCTCACGACGGTCAGTAAGACCTCCAGTAGGACCAGCGTAGGGAGAAGGAGCAGGTAAGGGGGAGGCAGGCTGTAGCTGTGACTGTGATGGGACAGGCTGTGGACCCTCTAAGGGAGGAGGAGGACCAGTAGAAGGTGGAAGACCAAGAACGTGCTGCAGGAGTGGAACGAAGTACGGTCGAGGCCGCGCGGCGACGTCAGACACAGAAGGGACAGCACGAGGACCCCCAGCAGGAGTACTCGCTCCAGCAGCACCTCCAGCAGCTCCAGAACCTCCAGCAGCACCAGGAGCACCCCAAGCAGGACCGCGAGTGGTAGTCTCAGCGCCAAAACCCTCAGCAGCACCAGCTCCAGTCGAACGCGCAGGCCCAGCAGCTCCAGTACTCCCAGTACGAGCACCTCCGGGACCTGCGACAGCAGCACCCTCAGCAGTAGAAGAACCTCCAGCACTAGCAGCACGCCACCAGCGCCGGGCAAACCACTCACGCAGTTCCAGTGGGGAGAGTGGCTCTCGGCGAGACGAAGCACCCGGAGAACCTCCAGGCGAAGAACCTCCAGGCTCAGCACCCCCAGGTAAAGCACCTCCAGTCCCAGCACCCCCAGGCTCAGCACCCCCAGGCTCAGCACCCCCAGGCTCAGCTCCCCCAGGCTCAGCACCCCCAGTCGCAGCACCCCCAGGCTCAGCACCCCCAGGCTCAGCTCCCCCAGGCTCAGCACCCCCAGTCGCAGCACCCCTAGGCTCAGCACCCCCAGTCTCAGCACTCCCAGGCTCAGCACCCGCAGCAGCACCAGAGTCACCAGTGACCTCGACAGGCTCGACCGCGTCTACCTGGGACACACCTAAAGGGGAAGGGGGTGTACCGAAGGGGGACCTGGTACCAATAAGAGCGGGGGTGGGGGGAGGGACGGAGTGCGGTAGGGGAAGAGGCGGTAGTAGGGTACCGACTCGTCAAACGTGACGTCCTGGGAGGACAGAACACGGCGAGAGGTGGGGTGGTAGAACTGCCACCCAGGGGCGTCGGGGGGGAAACCCAGGAAGACACAGGGAGCAGCGCGAGGGGACAGCTTGTCCGCAGACAAGTCGCGGACAAACGCCCGAGATCCCCAGACCCGGAACGCCGACGCATCGCCAACCTTCCCCGTCCACAGCTGGGCTGGGGAGGTCTCCGGTCGGGAGACCCTGGGATGAAGGTTGATCTGGTGTGCCGCGTACCTCACCGCAAACGGCCACAGAAAATGGGGGGCAGCCGCATGCATCATAGACGTACGAGCGACGTCCATGACCATGCCGATGCGGCGCTCTGCAATCCCATTTTGCTGCGGTGAGTCCGGAAGCGTGAAGGTCTGATGGATGCCTCGCGCACGACAGTAGGCTCGCAGAAGGCCAGAGGAGAACTCTCCGCCTCTGTCCGAGTGCAGACGCAGAACAGGAAAGTCCGAGCCAAAGCTCTGCCTGAGCTGGAGACGAGCTGCGCGGATCCAGTCAATCAGCACCTCAGTGACATCACCCTTGCTGCGCAAGGGGAAGACTGCGGTGTAACACGAGTAGTTGTCAACAACAAGCAGGAAGTAGCGCTCGTGACTCTGTCCACGGACGCGGGCGGGGCCCCACACGTCCATGTGAAGCGTCTGCAACGGGGCCTCAGTCGGAGGAAACTGGGAGGAGTGAGGGGCAGCACGCTGGCGCCCCTCAACACAGGGGACACAGGTAGGGCCAGGGCCCTGAGGAAGGGGAGGGAGGGACCGGGGGAGACCAGACACAAGAAGACGGGAGGCCATGCCTCTGAGCCGAAGCAAAGAGGGGTGACCAAGGCGGTGGTGCCAGAGGAGAGTCTCGTGAGACAGGAGACGACACGAACAGGGGGCAGACTCAGGACCAGACCTGGACGCTGCAGCAAACACCTGACCAGACGCAGGGACCCTACCAGACTCAGTAACTGGGGGAGACGCAGTGGTCAGTGTGTACAGACTCGACCCTGGCTGACGGGTAAACGTAGCCAGGTGTCGACCTGTGCTAGCCTCTGTGCAGTGCGTCACCCGCTGACGAGCAGGGCGAAGGCAGCCCACACTTGCCACCTGCCCGCGAGGTCCTAGTAACACGTCGCGGCCTGCCCGGACGGGCAAGCGAGGGCCGGGCAAAAACTCGGGGCCCCCTCGGGACGTTCGACAATTTCGCGACCCGTTGCGGTGACGCCACGTGTTCGCTCGTGGTTTCGCATCGGGCGCATGCGATATTAAAGATGCGAGCGAAAAAAAAAAAAAAACAATGCAAAGCGGAGAACGAGGTTCGTTACCCGCTACGAAGTCGACACGTGTCGTGCGAATGGACGCTCCTCGCGCATGCGAAATTGCGTCCCTTTGCCGTCCTGGGCCAATGGACGCGAGGTCGACGCCATGTCGAAGCGATGTCGGACCACCTGTTCCACTTGCGCACGCACCCTCAGAGCCCTGCCGAGCCAGGCCCCACACCCTTGGGCGACGCTGAACGGGGATGCGGTGGGCCACCGTCTCCTTTTCTTTGTGGATGGTGGCCTCGCTCCCCATTTTCCGCATCTCGTTTCGCTCCTCCTTTTCTCCTTTTTTTCTCCTTTCGTTGCTCTGTGCGGCTATCGTGATATCGCTTCCCCTTAGTCGATATGGACCCTAGCCCCGACGCCGATAGCTCGGCGCTGACTTCGGCTGACTTCCCTCTTCGTCACCCAATGGGTCGTGGTCTCAGCTTCACTCTAGAGTGGGAAGACTTCTTAGTTCTTCGCAACCACAAGATAGAGTTCAACGACGGATGTTTGGGTTTCGGCATCAGGTAGGACTCGAGTAGTCGGCGCCGACTAAACAGGGTTAGTGTTGATGTCGGCGCAGTGGCCTACTGATTTACGTCGACGTGCACGGTATTAGGCATATACCCCCTCCAGGAACGTTGGCCACCTTAGGAAGCGTCGACCAGACGCAGTCGCCCTGTGTACTTTTCGGCGTTTGCTCAATCGCCCTTGTATGAACCTCCTTTCCCAATCGTGCCGTCAGGTTCGCGTGGTCCCGACTTGGGATCGACAACCAGCGTTTGTGGGTAATCGGAGTCGGCACGCTTCAATCGGCCATGAAGGAGGCCGACCATTCATGCTTTGCTGCGGTTTTCGACGCCGACATTGCCGCTATCCCGTTAAGAACGATGTGAGTTGTTTCACCGTTGATCAGTTGTCGTTTTTTGTTGTCGCGACATCGCGTGGTGTTGTGATCGACGCCGTCGTGAATTGCATGTGCAGCCTCGGTCCGCTTCCAGGAACGCACTGCAACGTCATTGCCATCCTACACCCTGGAGATCTGTTGAAGGCAGAGTTACAGGTGTGCAGGACCTCAATCCGGCACATCGACCTGCAGACCGGTAAAGGGTATCACCGCGACGAGGCCGCCCGCGTGCTAAAGTAAGTGCTGAATTGTCGTCGATGACCCGCTTGTTAGTCGGCGACACAGGGTATCACACGCTGACCGCCTCCCTCCACCGCAGTGCTTCAGGTTCTTTCGCACGGCTGTCCTGGCCGAGCTGGGGCGTCCCGGTAGGATGTGGGACTGGGCGCCGCCATCACAAGCAGTGGTGGAGGTCAGGCTGGCCGACTGCGATCACCCTATCCGCGATGTGAGTTTTACGTTCAAGTAGTAAGGGGGGTGCCTGTTTCTGAATGCTTCGCTCATCATGTTCCGTGCTTGTATGCAGAAAGTGCCGGGCACAGTGTCGGACGGGCATGTCGGTGCCAGCGTGCTTTCCGCGACGTCGTTCGGGTGGGTAGCAAAACAGATCGACCATCTGACAGGCGAGAAGGGTCATAGTGGGGTGAGCATCGAGAGCGTCGGGATGAAGGGGCTGAAGGCTTTGCGCGACAGCATGGTTGAGTACGTCGGCAAGGTCATTGCCGTAAAACGCACCAAGGCGCCGACTTCTCAAGCCGCCGCACCCGCCGACAGTGCCATTGATGACGACGGCGCGGAAGGACAGAAGGCGCCCCAAGGTTCAGTTGCCACCCAGCATCAGGGGAACGCGAGGGTGCATGGGGAAGGTGGAAACGGTGGAGGAGGCGACGCAGAGGTAGGTGCAGGAAGGTTGGAAACGGAGAAGTCGTCGTCGTCGTCGTCTGAGTCGGAGTCGGAGTCGGAGGAGGAAGACGAAGCGGTGAAGCGTAAGGACGAGGAGGAGGAGGAGGAGGAGGAGGAGGAGGAGGAGGAGGAGGAGGAGGAGGAGGAGGAGGAGGAGGAGGAGGAGGAGGAGGAGGATGAGGAGGAGAAGGAGGAGGAGGAGGAGGAGGAGGAGGAGGAGGAGGAGGAGGAGAATGAGGACGTGTATGGTGAGAAGTGGGAGGGAGGGAAGGATGAGGAGGGGGGGAATGAAGAGGTGGAGCTCGTGGTGGAGTATGTAGAGGGTAAGGTTGAGGCGGGAGCGGCGGAGGTGGTGGGGTCCGCAGTTCAGGGGAATGAGGAAGAGAAGGATGACGGCGCGGGAAATGCTACGAGGTCGGCAGATGTGGGGAAGGAGAAGGGCGAGGTCGGCGTGGAGGCAATGACGGGAAATGGCCAGGATGAGGCGGCCAGCGAGGGAGGCGGCCAATGCGGAGACCGCTAACGCCCGTGCATACGCGACACGACTCTCCAGATTGTCGAAGTCCTCCAACCACTCCGTCGCCTGTTCCGCGAATGTCTTCATCGACTTCCACGCATCGTCAAAGCTGCCGGTGATGTTGCCCGTGATGGTCTTCGACATGGCCTCCGTCGCGTTTCGCAGCTGTTCCGCGGCATACTTCTCGGTGTCGTTGACCTGCTCGGCCAACCCTTTAACGTGGTCAACGAGTCCACTGACCCCAACAAAGAACCTGTCCAGCCGAGCCCGCTCCGCATCGAGCAACGTCGTCAGCCGAGCGTTCTCCGCCCGCAACAACCAGTTCTCCCGTCGCAGCTCCTCAACGGCGTCCAGTTCAGGGCCCTGCCGACCAGGTGCTTCCCCGGTCTCCTGCACGCCCGTGTTGTTGGTGGACTCCCGCATCCTGTAGGTCAGCACCACTCACCAAGTTCGTAGAGAACGAGGGGAGGTAGAGACCAGACAGGGTGCCAGAGGGAGCCGCCGTACACGGGAGGACAGTGGAGAAGCGAGACAGGACAGGACCCCCAGAGGGGTCAGCCAGGGAAACCGCAACCGGCCGACTAAGCGGCGTGAGTGTGGTGCGATCCCGAAAGAAGGAGCGAGACGCCCCAGAGTCAAGGGTGAAGGTGTGGGAGGCCGAAGCCGACGTAGTACCTGAGAGCGCAGACTCACCAGTACCTGAGGACGCAGACACACTAGCACCTAGAGCAGCAGTCTCAATGCCCGGGTCGGGCGGAAAACACCGGTAACAGTCACCCTCATCACTAATAGTCACAGCATACATGGCAGCAAGGATAGCATCAAAGTCAAGATCATAGATAGCTACGCCAGCCCTAGACAGCTCTCCCCAGCGGGGGATCTCCGTGGCCTCCGGAAACTGCTGACGCCAAGCGTCCGTCAGGCGGCCAAAACAGCGCTGGGTGGGGTGGGCACCCCCACACTGCTCACCCGCGCGGTCGCCGGTGCGAAGGACGTAGGTGCAGGGACCAAGTCCCCCACCACGCTGACGCTGCGTGTACCACTCACGGAGCTGCTGAGGGGTGGGGACGTCGCGAGAACGCTGCTGCTGCTGCTGCTGGCGCTGACCACCCCCAGTGCCGCTCCGCTGTGAAGTGCCACTCCGACCACCTCCACCACCTCCACCTCCACCTCCTCCACCTTCGCCACCGCCGCCACCCCCGCCAGTACCGACGCCGCCTCCGCCTCCACTGCTACCACTAGCATCCCCACCCCCGCCACCTCCTCCACCGCCACCCCCACTCCCTCCACCGCCTCCACCTCCACCGCCACCGCCCTCGCTAGCCCCACCCGCTCCCTTGCCCCCCTTGCCCTTGCCAGGGCGGCGTCTCCCGCTAGGGGCAGACACTGCACCGACCGACTCAAGACCAACGAGGTCGGCTGCAGCGGCAGAGGCGAGAGAGGGCAAGAGAGGGGAAGGAGAACACCCCTCAAAGATGGGGGCGCGGGGGTCACCTCGAGAAGCTCCTACAGCGACGATGCTGTTCTCCGCCGCTAGGAGGGCCTTCTCTAGGCTGTCGACTCTGAGAGTGGTGGGACAGACCGCGAGGAAGTGGTCCCGGACTACACGAAGGGAGTCAGGGAGGCGGGTGACTAGAAAGTAGAGAGTGATGTACATGGGGGGGGGGGGGGTTCTTGGCGCAGAAGTCAGCAGGAAGCGCAGCGCGGTAGCGGGTGTCACTAGTGCGGAGGTGCGTAATGAGATCAGCGACTGTGGGAAAGGCGGCAAGGTCAGGGAAGAGGAAGGGTAGCATGAGGCGGCTCAGTGCAGAAGTGGCAGGGGAGGAGTAGCGCGCAACTACAGCGTCGTACAAGGTCTGAGCACTCTTGTACTGACTAAAGTGCGCACGCTCAGAGGTAGGGAGGTGGCGACGCACAGCAAGACGTGCAGCAGCATCGCGCGTGGCCCACTGGGAGCGAACAGTAGGGTCAGCATCAGCAGCAGGGGCAGGAGAGGCGCTAGAGGTGAGGTCAAAGAGAGAAAGACCGTCTGCCCTATCGCACTGTAAGAACAGCTGCAGGTCGTCGACCCAGACCTCAAAGTCAATGGCGCGACCCTCAGCGTCGAAAGCGAGGACACTAGGGGTAGCCATGACGACAGACTCTAGCAGTGCAAACAGTAGGGTGAGGGCAGTGCAGTGAAAAAGGCTCTGTGCTCACCAGACAGGGCAAGTCGAGCGGTCTGGAAGTAGGGCAGCTCAGCGGCCGGCGGCTCGGCTGCTGGGCGGCTCGGCTGCTGGGCGGCTCGGCTGCTCGGCGGCTCGGCTGCTGGGCGGCTCGGCGGCTCGGCTGCTCGGCTGCTGGGCGGCTCGGCGGCTCGGCGGCTCGGTTGCTGGGTGGCTCGGCGGCTCAGCGGCTCAGCTGCGGGGCGGCTCGGCGGCTCGGCTGCTGGGCGACCCGGCGGTCGGGCGGCTCGGTGGCGCTGGATCAGGGCGGCGCGACGGTCGTGGGTAGGGCGGCGGGTGGGCCGCAGGTAGAGCTGCGGGAGGGCAGCAGGTAGGGCGGCTGGCGGGCCACAGGAGTAGGGCGGCTAGCGGGCCGCAAGAGTAGGGCGGCGGGGCCGTCAAGAAGGGCGGCGGGGCCGCGACGTAGGGCGGCGGGGCCGTCGAAAGGTAGGGCGGCGGGGCCGCGAAGTAGGGCGGCGGGGCCGCAGGAGTAGGGCGGCGGGGCCGCGTCAGTAGGGCGGCGGGGGCGAAGTAGGGCGGCCGGCCCGCAGGAGTAGGGCGGCGGGGCCGCGTGAGTAGGGCGGCGGGGCCGTCGGTGTAGGGCAGCAGGGCCGCAACGTAGGGCGGCGGGGCCGTCGAAGGGTAGGGCGGCGGGGCCGCGACGTAGGGCGGCGAGGCCGCAGGAGTAGGGCGGCAGGGCCGCGTAGTAGGGCGGCCCGCCACCGCCGCTAAGGTGGCTCGGCGCGACCGAAAGGGCGGCGCGACGGGCCGCTAGGGGGGGGGGGGGCGACACGACGGGTCGCCAAAAAAAAAAGAGAGCGCGACTCGAGGCGCGCTTCGGTGGGCCCTAGGAACAGTCCCTAGGAGGGGACCTTCTCTGAAACCATGTGAAAATTAGAACGAGGATGAATCAACTATGAATGAAGTGAGTACATATAGGAAACCCTGATTGGGTTGTACCCCCTATGGGATACCCCACTATAGCCTACACAAATATATATAAGCTATAATGTTCTGACATCAGGGACCACTTCCTCTCAGTTTGCCCCACCACACATACCGTTGACCTCCTCGAGGAGCGCCTCCTAGCAGCAGAGAAGAGCATTGTCGCTGTAGGAGCCTCTCGTGGTGACCCTCGCACCCCCGTCTTTGAGGGGTGTTCCCCTTCCCCCCTCTTGCCCTCTGTTGCTTCTGCTGCTGCGGCCGACCTCGTTGGTTTCGAGTCGGTCGGCGCTGCGTCTACCCCTAGCGAGAGACGCTGCACCGGCAAGGGCAAGGGGGACAAGGGCGCTAGAGGGGCTGGCAGGGGCGGTGGAGGTGGTGGTGGAGGTAGTGGAGGGGGTGGGGGTGGTGGTGGGAGTGGTGGCGGGGGTGGAGGTGTCAGTGGCAGCAGTGGAGGTGGAGGAGGCGGCGGTGGCGGAGAGAGCGGAGGCGGCGGAGGTGGCGGAGGCGGCGGGGGTGGCGGAGGCAGCGGAGGTGGCGGAGGTGGCGGCGGCAGCGCTGGAGCTGGTCGTAGCTCTGCGCAGAGGAGTGGGTCCGCTGGTGGTCCCCGCCAGCAGCAACAGCGCAGTCGTGAGACCCTGTCCCCTCAGCAGCTTCGTGAGTGGTACGCTACGCGTCAGCGCGGTGGGGGTACTGGTCTCTGCACCTACGTCCTCCGTACTGGCGACCGCGCTGGTGAGCAGTGTGGGGGCCCGCACTCCACCCAGCGCTGCTTCGGCCGCCTTACGGACGCGTGGTGTCACCAGTTCCCTGACGCCACTAAGATCCCTTGATGGGGAGAGCTGTCTAGGGCAGGGGTTTCTATCTTTGATCTTGATTATGATGCTATTCTTGCTGCCATGTATTCTGTGTCTACTAGTGAGTATGTTGTGACTGTTACCTATGTGTTCCGCCTGACCCGGGCATTGAGGCTGCTGCTCTAGGTGCTGGTGAGGCTGCTACTCCAGGTTCTAGTGCGTTTGTTGCCCCAGGTGCTGGTGTGTCTGCTCGCTCAGGTACCACGTCGGCTCAGGCCTTACAAACCTTCACCCTTGACTCCGGTGCTTAGCACTCCTTCTTTCGAGACCGCACCACGCTTAGGCCTCTTAGTCGGCCGGTTGCTGTCTCCCTGGCAGACCCCTCTAGAAGTCCGGTCCTTGTTAGCTTCTCTACTGTCTTACCGTGCCCGGCAGCCCCCTCTGGCACCCTGTCAGGTCTCTACCTCCCCTCGTTCTCTACGAACTTGGTGAGTGGAGCTGATCTACAGGATAGGGGGGTTGACCAGTTCACTCCTGCGAGTCAGCGGGTGACCCACTGCACGTGTGCTCGGACGGGCCGACACTTGGCCACGTTCACCCGTCGGCCGGGGTCGAGCCTGTACACACTTACTACTACGTCTCCTCCGGCTGGTGAGTCTGGTCAGGTAGCTGCGTCGAGTCAGATGTTTGGTGCAGCGTCCAGGTCTGGTCCTAAGTCTGCTCCCTGCTCGTGTCGTCTCCTGTCCCACCAGACTCTCCTTTGGCACCACCGCCTTGGTCACCCCTCCCTGCCTCGTCTCCGAGGCATGGCCTCCCATGTCCTTGTCTCTGGTCTCCCCCGGTCCCTCCCTCCCCTCCCTCCGGGGCCTGCCCCTACCTGCGTCCCCTGCGTCGAGAGGCGACAGCGTGCCGCCCCTCACTCCTCTGAGTTTCCTCCGACAGAGGCTCCGCTGCAGAATCTTCACATGGACGTGTGGGGCCCTGCCCGCGTCCGTGGCCAGGGTCACGAGCGTTACTTCTTGTTGGTGGTTGACGACTACTCGCGTTACACCACAGTCTTCCC